ATCAAAAATAACTCAATCGACCGTTTTATAAAGTAAGTTAGACCCAGTATAAAAATATAAACAAATCTAAATGTATGAAATTATCGTCTATACTATAGACTTATATCACAAATAATTTAAAATTAAATTTCCCATAAATTTTATTTAATTTTGATTAAATTTGATATTTTAAACAATTCAATGATAGAAAAACATTCTTACCTAAACACGTACTAAATATTTGTCGTTTTTAATAATAGCACAGCAAGCATATTTTGGCATGAATTGACCCTGTAGAAAATGAAAAAATAATATATTATCATACTGAGAAAAGGAGATATTATCCTGAAATCTTAGAAACTCCGCCACAAAAGGTTCACTCATAAATTTAACGATTTGTAATGTTCACCGTGTACCGGGCAAGCACCACCGCGTTACACTTGCTTCAATTTGTCATTTCGGTTACACCGTCTCATACCTACGTTATGTGAATATCATTCTCGATCGGTAAATGGCATGTATTTGCTTGCTTCGGTACAGCAGTTGTGCTAGTTATCGGAAAGGTGAGTTATGGTCAAAGCAAAAACCATTTAGTTGTAACCCAGCGGAAAGAAAAACAAATCGATACTACAAGCATTCCTTAAATAGTATATATATATATATATATTAATTAGATGCGTTGTTCGTACAACAATATAATATTAGGTCGATGAAATGCATCTTAAAATGTATTTTAATCTTTATATTATTGATATACAGGGTGATCATTTTATCGCACACCACTCAATATCTCATATTGTGTGTATCAGTGTTGGGCGTAATCGATTACAACAATTGAACAATGTAATCATGATTATAGTAATCAATTATCATTTAATCATTTTATAAAAGTAATCAATAATCATGATTACTTTTTGTAATCATTAATCATTTTATAAAAGTAATTAATAATCATGATTACATTTACGATTACATTAATCATACAAAAGTAATCATGATTACATTTATGATTACAACTAAGCATTCAATTGTTATCATGTATTTAAAAAAAAAATTAATCTCCCTAAGTTTTCTCTAAAATTATTGTATAAAAAAATGTTTGGGTTGTTCCAAGATGATTTGGCCTTTGTAATATTTGATCATTTAGTCTTTGCAAGTTTTATTAAGAATACAACTTTTAGTTCATTATCTATAATCTATAACATCTATAATTTGTTTGTTAAATCAAAATATGTACAGTATTTACGCTTTTCTTATATAATTTTATTATTATTATTAGGTATTATCTGTGTTTTACTTCCATGGCTGAATATAAATGCACAATGGATGGACTTCTTTTTTACATCCCATTCTTTATATCAAGTTTTGAGGAGATAGAGGTCGGCTTGAACATAGGTAGTTGCTAGGATAGTGTCAGGATTTCTAGATATTATTGCTTTGTCTTTAGCTAAGGTGTAAGAATAGATCGGCTGATCTGAGATAAATAAGTTGTAGGCAAAAGCGCGGCGTTAAAAAGTAATTACGTCTTTAAAATATACAAACTGATTTATTTAAAACTAGTGTTAATGTTTTAACTAATGTTAGTATGGCCAATTCCTTGTCAAAATAAAATTAATCATAGTAGTAAGAAGTTTATTTATTTGTATACAAAGAATATTTTAAAAAATAAACTACTTGTTGGCTAACGAATAATTTAGAAAAAAATCTGATTAAAAAATTTAATTCTAGATGATATTACGAAGGTCAAATCGTTGTAGACGACCAATATTATTATTTATAATGGATGTATTATGTTATAAAGAAAACCTAGGGCGGTTAAAAAAATGTAATCGTTAATAATTTCGTGATTAAAATTGAAAGATTAATGTAATCATGATTACATCTATATGATTACAGTAATCAAACCTTTATGATTACTTTTCTGATTATGATTACATTAATCTAACACTATGATTACTGATTACAATTATTAATCGTAATCGTTCATCATTAATCAGATTACAATTTGCCCAACACTGGTGTGTATATAGTAATATATATATCACAGATGTGTTCTAAAGTGTAAAATCTGTTTTCTGGTTATCGCCATGGTAATAATAGCGGGTAAAAAAAAACTCTTATAAGAATCAAATTTCTATGTTTTCGTTCACTTTTTGACCGGTGGTCGTGTCACTTTGTACAAACGATATATTATACCTTACATCGCCAAATATATGTGGGGGAAATAAGAGTAATATCGTGTGTTATAATAGTTATATACGTTGTAATAGTAATAATAAAAATGATGTAGGTTACGTTCATACATGTAATATGGAAGGAATTTGAATATTTTTGTATTGTCTATATTGATTGTTTTAATTGAATAATTCATAAGCACATTACATAGATGAGTAAATGAAAATATTTATGATTTCTCTATTTTGTATAATCTTTGGTTTTATCTGCAATTACATCACACGCACCCACTTGGAAAGACCCGAATTCTCTTTACATAATATGTTTATTCCGGTTTATTGAAGTGTATTATAATTATGATAATTGTTCGAGGTCGTGCAGATAATTCAATTATAGTTCTTAAGTATGTACATTTATAATTTTTCAAGAAATAGTACTCAAACTTTAAATGTATTGTGTGTATGAAATATTCAGGTCAGAACTGTTATGAACTGTATTCGAAACGAATTGACCGACGCAGTGGTTGATCTGAGAATTTTACCTACTATTAAAAAAAAAAAAAAAAAAACTTCTACTTATTTATACTTTTACGCGTATTATTATTGCACGTGCACCACAATGTAATATAATACATTCAGTATTAATACACACACCATCTGGAACCGATATGGCTGTGTCTATTACCGTCATCGACACGAGAGGGGACCAGAATAACGAACGTTAGGGTCGGAGACTTAAGCGCTTTAAGCCGTATCAATTTCACCGATCAGTACCCCCTTTGAATCTAAGACGGCCGGTAATGCTTATTGCCCTGCTGTTGCACTATCCGAAACATTTACTTTTTTCCGGACAAACTCAACCGTCGAATCAATCCCGTGACTTTGAATCCATCAATCTCTACACTTTTGATATTCGTGTAAAAAAATGTCGAGTATTGCAAGTTAACACCGTTCACACACACTTACGGATTGACGACAAAAATAAAGTAGAATCGGATGAAAAAGAAAAAAATTAGAATAGAACACGTTAAGTTAGATGTCCGTATGATTTTAATAATAATTATACTTATAATTAATTTTCACTAAGCTTTGCTTCCGTTATATTCGCAGTGGATTTTGCCTAAAAAGAGTTAAAAGTTTTTACTTGTTTTACTTTTGTAGGTGTTAGGACTTCGGTTTTGGAAATTAGACTAAACGTGGACCTTATAACATATTCAACTTGTTTTCAAAAATATGTTGTCAAACTTGTTTAAAACAAAAAATTCGATTACAGGTACACTAGTTTTTGTAAACATGATTAGTGCTGATGTTTATCTATTGTCATTTTTTAAACCCGTGTGCAAATTTTTAACAAGTTTTTGAATTTTGCACTTCTGCACTATACAAAAAAATTGACTTGCAATTTTTTTACAGAAAACTATGGATTTGAATCCTTTATCACCGTCGTGTAAAACAAACAAATAACAAACCTGTGCATTTCGCACATCTCATTAAGAATTCGAGCATTTACAAAAGCACTCATTCGAACAAAATGATAACCAAAATCAATCTCGGATTTACGGCAATTTAACCCCAATCGACGCGACAGAAAATCAAACACAAAACGCTGATGTACAAACAAAAAAAATCGACTTACCCTTTTCGCCAACACCGTTCGTTTACTTTAAATAATTTTTACCATCTACGCAGTTTCGCATCGTTTTTTTTTTTTTTTTTAAGCGATTATTTACCCCTTTTATTTATAACATTATTTCCGACGACCTTCGTGACTACCCTCATATCTTACTATGCTCTGATCTCATTTTGTAAGGTTTTTTTGTTGAATGTTGTTGTTGTTTTTTTTTATTATTATCTTTATTAGTGTAACAACACAATGTTATTTAATAACTAATTCGGTTAATTTTTGGATATAAAATTACGAAATATGTTATGTACAGGCACATTTTTTGCATTATTTTATTGTAGGTATTTGATGGTTTATTGTTGAGGCATTCGGCTAAAATGATCATTGGTATGTTTGAAATCCGTTCGTTCTTTGTCGAATTTTCTACCCTCTAAAGTAAGGTATTTGGCAGTGATTGCGATTTCACATGCTATGCAAAGCTCCGTTTTGTCCATAAAATGTTTATGGGGGGTGTACGGAGTAGTGGTATGTAATATTGTTGAACGTGTTACATCATATCGCGTCGTTGTCTTGTACAATTAATATTTGGGGTTGTCCGACTTTCTGTGCAGACTGCGTTTTATTTTTCTCGACTTATGCTTCCACAAGCGGCGAAACCTTCGGTTGTGCCTCGGATTTGTTTCCGTTTCGACGCCACAAGCGATGCCCGTCATGATTAAACACTAGCATCGAAAATTCATTTCCTCCACGCGCGTCGTTGTCGACACAATGAAGTTATTTCGGCCTAGTGTTTTTTTTTGTCATTTCCGTCAAAAATCTTACGTTACTTTGTGGATGTCGGTGTGCGGGCAACGCCGAACGAACGCGTGTGGCCGATACCCCGAACCCGGTGGTCGCAAGTACGGGGGGGCGCATGCGTTCCGCGGGCTCCACCGGGCCGCCACAATGGTCCGACTGGCTTTTGAAAATGCTATTTGCCCGCCGACTGTGGTACGCGTTCAACACCGCATCGTCGCCGCCGGTACTTAGGCTCCGCGAAAAGCGCGCGAGATCCGCCTCCGGTGATTATTATCGTTGACCCGTCTGTTTAGTCCGAATATCCGACTGCGGTTTGTTTGACGGTTAAAAATAATTTTTGTTGATTTTTATCAATTTTGTTTTAGATTTTTTTTTTTTTTTTTTAATAATTAATTGTTTATAAAATATTCAATTCGCGGTGTGGTCCGGCAAAACTACGCGGCAGGTGTTGGCTGGTTGGTCTACGTGAGTAATTAGTATTGAAACTTAACTATTGTCTCACTGTCTCTCGGCTTTCAGACCGAGTTCACTCTCTCTCTCTCTCTCTCTTCCTAACGGTTACAGACATATACCTAAATCGGCGTTGTCTATTTTTCAAGTAAAACGCAAACAGAATATGCAAATAAAGGTTGAAACCCTGGGTAGTCTATTAGATTTTAACCATTATTAAAACAAACGTATGTTATGTATTGTCATTTACAATAACGTCATTTTATTAGTGCATTGTTGGCTTGTGAATGTATTAAGATTTTGTAAGTTGTATCAAAGCCCACCTCTGGACAAATGTATAATAGGTACATCTATTGGGAAAAATTCCAAAAATATTGTTTTGTGTATTTTACATTTGCTCCTTTTTATTGTTTTGAAAAATATTCACACGTCAGGTATTTTTAAAAAAAAGTTGTTGATAGGTATATAAGTTTTTATTATATTCCACTTATCTTACGCGCCAAAATCGTTGTAACCACTTTTTCAGTTAAATTTTCATTTGCTTAAAAACGGTATAGTTAAATAAATAAAATATACCTTATGGACTACTCGAGTTGCACACTTAGTCGATTCTAATGTAGAACGTTATTTTGGTTATGTTTTGAACACACTAGTTATTATTATGTTTTTAATAGAAAAAAAAAATAAAGAACCTAAAAAAAGGGGTTTATTATAATTTGTAGTTTTTAGAAAACTGTACCGGATTTTTTTTAGGTAGTAATTTATTACATAACCTTAAGTAAATTAATTGGATAGTTTATAATATTTAGTAATAATATCTAAAACTCGATTATTAACACAAAATTTTGTTGTTACGCAATAACTATTTGGTATAAAAATGCAAATGAAGTAAAAAAAACATAGAAATTTAGAACAGATTTTGTTCATTATAAAAGTTTTAATATAGGTGTAATATTGTAAATAACGTTGCACGTTTTCGCCATAATTGTTTTCTGACGGAACAAATAACAAAGTTCGATATTATATTTTAAACCCAGATTAGCCAATAATAACCCGAAAGGCGTTCTAAAGATTACTGTACCTATTCTTAGTTTCCTGGTCGTTTAACCAGCTACTGACATCAAATAAGGTCTAAATAGAATTAAATATCCCAAGAATGAAAACCAACAAGTAAATTGGAATTGAAATCGGGGTTGGGTTATGGTCTACCCGAAAGAACATCGAATACAAATGTGTAGGTGGAATTTATATCGAAAAAATGTTTTGTTAGTCTAAATTGAAATCAAGAGAAATGTATACAGGTCGTGTTGTAGCGCTGCAATCAAAACCAAAATCACAAGACATTATATTATAGTTTATTACGTTATTTCAAAGTCTCGGTAACTTGAAAAGTTTATTATATCTCTAGTATAACTATGATAATTGAACTCAATGAAAGTTTAATTACGAATCGCGCTACATAATATACAACTGAGTTTCTTCTGCGGTTAAATAAAAAAAGTTTAAACTATTTTTACTTATGTTTACATCCAAAAGAAATATAAATTTATTCTAAGCAGTAATGAGACAAAATAACTAAAAAATTATCTAAATAAAATATTAGGTTGTTAATTCAAAATGTATCCAGATAAAGAATTGTATGTACGTCAAACAACCTTTAATAATAAATTATATATTAACAGATTTAGAACATTTAAGTACCTATATTAAATAAACGAAGATGTTGTAATCACTTATAAAAACTCCGATTTATAACACATCATGTAGGTATAGTATACACATAAATATGTATTAAATTAAAAATTATTTTATTTAATACAATAATTAATAACATCAATTTTTATCTAGATAGGAAAATAGTTAAAACATTTTTATTTAGATAAAATTATCTAGATAATTTACAACATTGTTTTTAGGGGGCCAGTATCACGTTATAAGTTACTTACAAGAATCGAAAAGCATGGTTAACATTGACCTAATTACATTTTATGATATAATATCATTACAGTGCAATAACGGGCATTGAAGGCCCAATGCTGCCATGTAATCAAAGGTAAATTAAATACCCTTTGAATATAATCGTTGTTTTTTCCTATGACGAGTTCCTTGTATTTCCGTCATTATAATTTGTTTTTTTTTTTTGATAACGATATACCATAAGGGAATATTGAATATTATTAAAACAATAATTACATATTTTCCCATAAACATTACTTATAATTAATATTAACTACCGATTTTTATAAGAATGATTACTCAACAAAACATATACAATAAACTTAAAGGAACTTGTTACGATTTCAATCTTAATTATTAAATATTTATTTTAAATATTAAAACATCAAATATTTAAATTACTTTCAGTTTGTATTAAATATAACTAATTAAATTTCATTATACTAAAAAAACACGTTTTTGTACATGTCTTAAATGTTTATAAAAACAATTCTAAATGTATTCATTTTGACTTCGTTGAGTCGATAAACCTTAAAAAGGTTATTAGTTAAATTATTATGCAACATTTACATTAATTCATTTACATACAATTTTTTACAACTAATAACTTTAGACTACATTACTTAAATTGTCGATTTTATGTAATGGAAAAAGTATGCATATTATACAATTCTACATCCTCATACCTGTTTATGTAAAACACGTTTGCGGAACAAAGTAAATAGTTGTTAAAAACCACTCCTCAGTCCTCAGGTGTTTGAAAATGTCTTTTAACTTTAAAGGCGTTCGGTATATGCAATATACTGCTACAGCTGTGTGAGGTATAAGCGGAACCCGGACACTGATAAAAAATAAACACGGCCAAATACTTATCACACAAAAACGAAGCGACCATGTTTAGCACCCGCCATAATCATAATAAATTACATATATCTATACATTATTATTTTTAGTTGTGCATAGATATAATTTATTATGATTACAGCCGGTTTAGAACATGGCCGTCACGTTTTTGTATACATTGAAGCTGTCTTTTCTGATTTCATTTATTGTCTGGTATGAGCACAGCAAAAAACGATCACTTGTGTTTGCCGTATTGGATACTAATAGAGAGAAACGATCATCTATTTCAGTTACACTAGTTTTAGTTTTCGTGATGATACTCCATCCAGCTATTTCCTAAATATTACATCGTTTGAAAATGTTTACAATCGATGTAACTAATAGTTCAATTATTTTTTTAAATACGTACATGTTGTATAAATAATATGTTTCGGAAAAGTTTTAGGCATTCCTAAAGTTCAAAAAAACATAAAACTTTCAACTAAAATATACTTAATTTTAAGTATAGTAACGTATTAAAGTCTTTTTATAAGTATTTCTTGAATATAAAGTAATATATTCTACAAAGCGGAAGTAGCAGTACACGACTGCGTTGAGTTAAAATAACAAAGAGAATAATAGTGTAAACCTAACCTTGCTGTGAATACTGACCACGTTTTGTATATTTGTATTATTAGTTATATATATATATGTGTGTGTGTTTATATTCTTGTTTAAACATAAAATACAGCCACATTAGAATTTTACGGTGTTATGGTCATTAGTAGCGAAGAAAAACACAAACAAGGTTTTTCTTAAAGTACGGTTATTTTTAATTTCTTTAAATACTTTAAGTTTCTAATGGGTTTTTTAATTGAACGTCTCTTTATAAAAGTTATTGAGAGTATATTTACAAGGAATAACTACAAAAACTTACAATTTAATAATTAAAAGTTTTAAAGTTATGCAAACCCTTTTTTTTTTTATTCTCTATATTAACAAAACAATCTGTACAATATTTACAATAAGTCTTTTTTATCGAAGATATGTACACAGCCTGAATAGTTAACATGCGAGGAAGTCACCTATTGGTAACACCTCAGTAGAAGTCAAGTTTTAAAAGTTATGCAAAACCTAAAGAATACATTTAAGTTTTCTGGCGAAAAATAAGCATCATTGTTCAGTAATTTTGTACGCTTATACCTATCATCTTTTAAACTACAGTATATTATATTGTTTAATAGTATTTACAACATAACAAGTCATTTGTTTAATTTAAAAAGATAAAAACAAAATATATTCGTTTTTATTTTTTTAAGGTTTCTATGTTGTAGTTTTATTTTTGCATACTACGGTTAGTGTGAATCATTGAAGATAATCAAATAATTACACGTTTACACAACATATTACTTGTTATGCGCGTTATTAAATAATGTAATGTGGTGGATTTTTTCCAAAGTAGTTTCAAAACAGATTTCACATTTTTTCTACTACCGGTCCTTTTTATTTTTTGGCAAATGTTACTAAACCAACAAAAGCCACTCGCTGGAAATAACCTACCGATTTCCGTTTACCAAACACAAACTCCGGAGTCCGGATGCTAAAACACGATGCGAGCCCGAATATGTCTTAATGAAGCAATCGATATAAGGAATTGCGTGCCAATGAGAACTGAATTCCACGTGAGAGGAGCACCTTTAAGTAGTCAACAACAATTTAAACGAAAACAAACTGAGCTGAGCAGCTCATCAGGAAAACAAAAAATAACAAAGCGCGCGCAAAGTGTGGGATAACAGTCGGCCGAGTGAGTGCTTACTGCTGAAGTTAATAATGTGCATCCACAGTTGGAAATCCCCATAATATATTTTTAATTTAAATTTTCGACGTAATAACGATGAGTCGCGAAGGAGATTATACGAACCCTCGACCCCGGCAGCGATGGAAAGAAGAAAAAAAAAAACAACGAAGAAGACTCCATTGCAACTGTTATCTGTCACATCATTCCTAAATTAAAAGAAAACGGGACATTTTTGTTCCGCCATTACTCCGTTTCCTCTTTACCATTAATTAAACTAGTTGTTTTTCATTCGATGCGATAAGAAAGCGCCGTGCCGCTGCGACCAATATATACGGGTTGCAATCCATTGGAGTACTATCTCAATTATGTTTCTGCAGATGGGTTTCCTGGAGTTTAATTAAAATTAAAACTAAAAACATTACACGACTATTAAAAGCAA